ATGACAGTGAGCTAAAGGAACCATCAATTAGGGAGATCCAGGGTGATCATTTGACTGACGAAGAGGCACCCTCCAGAGACCACCAACTCTACCAGTCACCAAATTCATCTTTCTCAACAGGTTGTCTCAAAGAATCCTCCAGAGATTCTTCAGTAGAGACTAGTGGTGTGTCTACAGTGACAGAAGTTCCAAGAAGTGATAAAATATCATTAGATGTTCTGAGCAGAAGAAATTCAAATGAACAAGATCATTTTTCTGACAAAGACCAGAGTTTTTCAACTGCCACAACATCTCCATCCCAACCAGAATTACCAACCAGAAAGAGTATATTTTCTTTCCTGACTGGATCCGAAAAATCTGAGAACAGAGCCTTTACTACTCTACCAAGAACCACATCTCAAGGAGAAGGGCTATTCACACTTCCTTCCTTTTTTTCCACTGCTAACTCAGGCAGCAAGAAGAATACCTCTCTTAATAGCTCTTTCAGTTTCTGCAACTTGTCCTTTTTGGATGAAAAGCAGCAGACTCCTGGGGAAAAACACAGCCTTTCAGCTGTTGCTCCAGTGACTTCCCAGCCCTGTAAGAAGCCAAGTGTTTTTGTAGACATGAGTGATACAATGACTAGAGAAGATTCTAATAACAATAGAGGTAGCATAGTGCCGGAGGTAGTTCATGAACAGCAAATGGCTCCTTGTGTTTCCATTAGCAACACCACTAAGGTTACCTCCCTTGCAGATGAGCTCAATGTAGAAAACGACTATCCAGGAAAACTAGGTTCCAGTAATGGACTAGGGACATCTTTAAAAGATTTCCAGGTAAGTCAGTCACGAAAAGACATTGTTCCTCATTCACCACAATTTCAGGCACAGTCTGAAACACTGCTTATTGGTCCAGAGACCCTTGAGGTATCTCCCTATGAAGAAGAGGCTTTCATACAGGAAGCCTTTCTGAGTGACTCACCAGCCAGCTCTTCTTCACATGATAGCCATTTGGTTGAAAAGCTCAACCATTTTGACACATGTACTACCTACCACCAAAGTGAAAGATTTACTAGTGACCCACTGAACTTGCCCTTAGAAAAGGCCCCTGATGAGGTCTTAACACAGATCCTGGAGCCAGCTTCTTCCTCTGTGGAGCCAGGATGTACAGGGCACCTCCAGAGTCAAGATGCAGATAAAGTGGAAGACAAATCAATGTTGGACTCTTCAGTAGAAATGCTTTCAGGGTTTGTGACCAAAGTGAAATCTTTCCCTGGGTCCTTAATTGAACCTCCTAAAACTTTCTCTGGACTTTTCTCTTCTCCTAAACCTCCGAAGAAAAACTCCTTTTTCTCTTTTTCTTCTGGTGCATCATCTCAGCCTCTCAAAGGTGAGTTATTTGGACTTTTTAAAAGTCCCAAAACAGAGACATACAAACAAGAATCATCTATTCCAGCTACTGCATTGCTTCAAAATGGTGGTTCCAGACATACTGAAGAATCAGTACCTCCCGAAAATTTGTGGAAAGAAGCTACCTTTGGAGCACTCAATTCAGAAGCTATAGTCAGTGACTGTAGAATGACTGTGGTTAGTGCAAAGTCAGACTCGGAGACCCTGACGGATGATCCTAACCTAACAACTGAAATGGAAAACAATAATATTCCTGACAATATTCCAGAACCCCAACGTTCTGAAACAATTGAGGCTGCATCTTCTGTCTCAGGGGACGATACTGGGCAAGGAGTATTGTCTCTGAGTGATGAAGGAGACATGGGGATGTTGCAGGGTACAGACACAGAGGCATCATTGGAAGCAGAGCATATCTCATTGCCAGCACAGTTGCATCCAGAACCTACCTGGATTGCCAAAGAGCTTCCTCCTCCAGTTCACCTACCTCTTCCTCTTGAGCCAGAGCCAGATATGCAATCTGCCTCCACAAACCAAGACTTCTTAGAGCTACAGGCAACCAATTCACTAGAAACCAATACTACAGTGTTCAGTGAGGCAAGTGTTGGCCAGAGTGCCACACTGGAAACAGAAGGGTACCTTTCTCACTGTCCATTGGAGGAACCTGTGCTTTGTGCCAAAGAAAACTATGGGATACTTGATACCCAGAAAGGTCCACCTGCAGTCCCCAAGGAAACGGAGCAGCCAAGTCCTCAATTTGAAATCCCAAACATGATCAATTGGCCAAAATTTCATTTCCCATCCTCTGCTACTGACTATCGGAAACCACTGAGCTCTTTCTTTTCCTCGCCTTCCTCCTCTGGCAATAGAGCAGCAGAGACTGGTTTAATGTCCAGTTTTAAGAAGTTGTCAACTCTATTTGAGGGAGGTAATGAGGGGAAAGGGAGTAGTGCAGTGGCAAGTGATTCAAAACTAAGGTTTGGAAAGAAGCTGGATCTTTCATTCCCATGGCCAAAACAGAACAAATGGGACCCTGAACAAATGCCTGCAGAATCCTCCTCTCCAGTTTTGGTTATGAGCAGTGATCACGACCTTAAATTCAGTGAGGCTGACAAAACTTTGGAGTCTTCTCAAGTGTCTGGGGCCAGTGCTGAGCCAGCTAAGGTTTTGACTCAGCCCTCTGGGACCTCTGGGCAGCTGGAGACCAGGCCAAGTATATGTGCTCATGAGCTTTCAGGGCCTGGAGTGGAAAACCATCAGGAAATCCCAGCATCTGGAGAACACGGGGGTACGAAAGATAACCTCTCTGACCCCACCTGTCCTTCAGAGAGTCATGAGGAAGAACACTGCACTGTCTCTGACCTACTTCACCAGCCAGAAACACATGAAGAGGAGACAGCGCCTGCTAGCATTGACTCTGATTCAAATGTACAGCAGCCAGTTGCTCTACATGACATCAAGGAACCAAAGACCAGCAAAAGGCCTGTTCTCAACTAAAGCATCATAAATGATTTTAAAGAATTGACCATTTATGATGCAGTGACTTAGTGGTAGCTTAATCATAGCCTGCTTTTTATCCTTCCTGTGTCTTTCCCAGCACTTGAGCTTCATGTTAATTAGGGGTTAAGTAAGAAGAAATAATAGGTGGATATTGTCATCTCTTCTCTCTGCCAAATGTAATTCATTTATTGGAACAAGGAGCTTCCTGCTTAAAGGGAAGACTAGGTCGTGAGATTTACTCACTCTGGTTTGCTCTGCCGTGAATAATGCAGAATGGAGAAGGGAGGGCAAGAAGAGGCAGCAAGTCACTGAGTGGCATATATTAATTACAACCACATGATAGGCTAGAATGCTTCCTTGGGCCTTTGGCTCTTATCTGTAATAGCTAGGAGAGACCTACTTTGCTTTGCTTTTCCAAGTCTTCTAAGATGCTTTCTCCAGTGGCAATGAGCGTATTAAGTCAAATACAAAATGCAAAGGATGGCTTGGAATAATCTATACTATATATATTCTGTATGGATTTGCACAGCTTCTTCCAGTCTCTGCATTTTACTACCCATGAGACTGGCGTCTGATAAGTGCTTTCAGTACAGTCTCACAGGAGCTCAGGGCTATCGTTTGCTGTAGTTATTCAGTCTGGATCATTGTGCAGGGTCCACCTGCAAAAGATACTATTATTTCCCCTAAGAAGAAGCACCATACAGGGCATTTTAAGAATGGCACCTTGAACGCTGGCCCAAACCAGTCCAAAGAGGCTGGTCAAGTACTTTGGAGGTTATGTGAGTATGTGCGCACACATGTTCATGTGTATATGTGTGCTGGGAACTACTCAGAACAGTGGCTTGGTACCTATCTTGCATGGGATGAAGAATCAGAAATCTGCCTGGAAATACCAGATAACTGGGAGGAATCATAGGGAAAATATCACTGGAAAACAATAATGATTTATCTTCATTTGGCCAAGAGTAAACATAAGCCCTTTAGTTAAAGCTTGGCTCTTTGGCAAGAAAATTCCTTGTCCTTTTGCACGGAGGCTTTCCAGCAGAATACCAGAAGTAAAACGAAGGGCCTCTGACTTGGGATGGAACTATCCAAATGGGCTAGGATAGCTCTTGTATTGATAGATCATCCCCAAGTTCCTCCATTTTGAATAGGACTGAATCCCCCAAATTCAGTATATGGCTTAAGGGAGTAACTTTGAATAATATTCTTTCTGGTCACGATTCACTGCCACATTTGCTATAGCTGCTGCCTCTTATACCAGGGGAACAAATTTCCTTTCTGGGTATGGGAATTCAGGTGGTTGAGAGAGGGTTAGGCTGGCCTCTCTTCAGGTACAGAAATGCATTAGTATGGCCCTGACTCAGATCTTGGAGTTGGACTGTGTCCACTTTGCCCAAAACTGAGCCATGTCCTGAGAGCAACTTAGCTATAGATGGGCAGGTTCATCTTTGGGACACTCCCTGTGCTGCCAGGGATACCACTGTAACATCCATGTTGATGAGACCATTCCCCTGAGGAATTTCTTGGTCCTAGCCTCCATTTCCCAGTGGCTTCCATTACCTCATACAGATGGCTGAGAGATAATTGAAGGAACATGTTCACTCTCCTTTGCTCATTCTGAGGAACACACATTTACATTTACAATTGGAGAGGAAGAAAAGGGGATCTCAACTTAATAGGTAGTAGAAAAAGGGAGTAGAGTTCATCCATCCATTTTATTTTGTGGAAATTAGAAAACTTTAATCACAGCCACTGGACAAGTTTTTTAAGAAGTCCGAGTAGAGAATTTTAGGCATAAACAGACTATTTTAATAATTCTTAATCCTACTTACAAAATAGCATGTTAAGATAAAGAATTCTTCAGAGTCATCTGCAGGGTTGAGGTTAAGTGCTATTGGAGAACCCAGCATGTTGTGTTATTTTTCCTGTTGTGATTTTGCTGAACAGAGACTAGTTCTTCTAGATTGTGAACTTTGGTCCTCTCTTCCCAGGAACCTCCTGTTTGTGATCCTTGCCACTGATAGAATCATTATTTCCTGGATTTATCCATTACTTTGTTCTGGTCCTTAGTTTGTATGTATTTACTGATGTGTCTTCCTCTCATTCTCACAGCCCCACCAGCAGTAGTAGGTATGGCTCCTCCTGTAATGTGAGTCAAGGAAGCTCTCAGCTGAGTGAACTAGACCAGTGTCACGAACAAGATGATGACCGTCGGGAGAGGGACTTGATTCATTCCTGCCACAGCTCTGGCAGCTTCTCCAGAGACAGCCAAGTAGGTTTTGGAGAACAAGAGAAAGCCTTGGAGGTGGCACGTGAAGAGAAGGGAGGAGCATGTGAACCCAAGGAGACGAAAGAAGATGCTACAAACCCTCCACCCCCAGATCTGGTGCTACACAGAGACCACGTCCTAGGCCCCCAGGAGAGGTAGGTGATGGCTACCTTGAGGAGCTCACATGGTTTCCTCAGTACCTGCCCTATGGTATTGTTGAACAGAATGCAGTTGCTTTTTGTTTGTTTCCCTGCAGCTGGGTGTGGTTGTGATCAGGATACTGAGGCTTAGCTCTGCACTGCTTCCTTTGCTTTTTGGTGTAATTTCCAACGTATTTTGAGGATCTCTGAAGAACATTTTAACTGCAGTGTACCAGGCCTTCTAGAGTCTGCAGTTCTTGGCTTACTAGTTGACCCCACATATGAGCCTTTGAGTCTGGAACTGACCTGAGCCTTGCAGGTCATTTCATTCAGAGGAGCTGCTTTGAATGAAATAGGCTTCCCACCTGATTAATGTTTAAATTTCTTTTGTGAACATTATTCTTTTGTTTTGTTTTTTCCCTGGCTGACAAAACTGGGAAAGA